GAAGGTGTTATATTTCATTCTAATGCCAACTGATCTGAATCACAAAGGTATGGCAATTCTAAATAATTGAAAAAGCTCTCAATACGTCCAATTTCGTTTACCTCAGAGCTGCAAAGGGTTTTATAAAAGTGTTTAAATTGATCATTAATACCCTGTTAATCAGTAATAATACTGCCCTCACCCTTACTAACTGCTGCTATAAAAGCAGCTGCTGAGGATTGTTTCAGTTTGTAACACAGTAACATGGCAGCTCGTTCACCATGTTCATAATGAATCTAGCGTGATCTTATGTGGACATTTTCACTTGTCAGGGAGTCATATTCCGCTTGCAGAAGGAGTCTTTTCTAATGGAGCTCTTCGGAAGGTGATGTTGAGTGTAGCTGATCAATTGTATTATTTAAATTCATAATCTCTGTAAGCCGTTTTGACATTCTTTTATTTGCGCTAGCTTGATATTAAATGATCTGTCCTTTTATAAATGCTTTCAGAGTATACCATAGGATGCTCAAACTTATCTTATATATTTTACAAAATCGTCGTCTGCCAAGAGTCTTGAGTTAAACCGCCATGTATGTTGGAGGATTCCATTGCCTGAAAACATAGCTTTAGAGAGACTGGACAATGTTCCGAAATAACAATACTACCATACTCTACTGCTGACATTAATGCCCCATTCACACGGGGCTTCAGCATCAACGCTTGACAGAAAGCGTGTCTGAAGTTGGGGCTGACGTGATCGTCATAGCAGCGTTAGCCAATGAATTTACACAGCAATTGGCCACAGTCTGAGCTGGTGTATTTGCATACAGCGATCTGTTGGCTTCCATCGCCGCTTGAAAAGTTTATCAAGTCCCAACTTTTGCAGCGAACAATGCTTCTGAAGCAGCGTCGACGAATCCACAATGCAGTTCGGCAACGCCTGACGTCACACATTCAAAGTGAACGGGAAGCGTTGACGCTGATGCCCCTTGTGAATGGGGTGTAAGGGACGTAACTGCTTGTCCAGGAGAAAATGGTCAATCCTGGAATAGGTTTGATGCACGGGTGAATTAAATTCAGGAGGTTCGCCTCCTAAAATTAAATTGTGTGTGTCAAGACTAGGCAAAATTGAAAATAAATCAATGAAAATGTGTACATTGTCCCAATTAGGAGCATACACATAGGCCAGGACCACAGACATGTTAAAAGTTTGGATTATTATGTTTCTGCCATTTTTATCCAGCACATTTGACTCGATGACAAACTGTACATTCTTATGTATGAGTACAGCAACGACCCTACTTTTGCTATTGAAGTTTGAATAATATATTTGTGTATAGCCTCCTCTAAGTTTAGAATAGTCTTTTTTCAACAGATGTGTCTCCTGTAAATATACAATATCGGATTTGAACTGTTTTTAACTGATTTTAATTGTTTCGTTTTATTGGGTGATTTAGCCTCCGCACATTCCAACTGGTAAAGTTTGTCTTTACTCCACCCATTTTATGGGCTGTTGAAAACATTTATCAGAAGCATCCGAAGCACCCGAAAGGTATCTGTGGGTTTTGTATGTAGGGGTATATATAAATGTTGCTATAATAAAGGCCAAAGAAGAAAAAATGGCCATGAATATCAAATCACTTTTATTGTTACATCATCAGCAGCACGTGTGCTATGATGAGTGAAAAGCTTAGGTGCTGGCTCTAGACAGTACAAAATACAGACAGTGCAAATATAATTTGGCAGCATTATAATTGTTGACAGCGATATGTATAATGAATATGTGTACCCATAGTTGTAGGCAGTATTGTTTTAGGTATGTATTGGTTAAAGTGCAGTGCATGCTACATATGCATGGTGTGCAGTGAGGGGTATTAAGTGTTCATCAGCCTGATAGTCTGAGGGAAGAAGCTTTCCTTTAGTCGGCTGGTGCGCGACCGGATGCTGCAGAACTATTTGCCTAAGGGTAGCAGAGAGAAAAGTCTATGGCTTGGGTGGCTAGAATCGCTTATAATTCACTTGGCTTTCCTCATGCACCGCCTGGTGTAGATGTCGTGGTGGGAGGGAAGCTCACCTTCTACTACGCGACCAGCAGTTCACACAATCCTATGTAGGCCTTTGCGATTGCTGCTGGTGCTATTTCCATACCAGGTGGTGATACAGCCACACAGGATGCTCTCCACAGTGCAGGTGTAGAACGAGCGGAGGATGTGAGGGCTTATTCCAAACCTCCTGAGACGCCTGAGGAAGAAGAGGCGTTGTTGTGCCTTACTTAGCACTACGTCTGTGTGAGCAGTCCATGTCAAATCCTCAGCAATGTGTACTCCAAGAAACTTGAAAGCGCTGACTCTCTCCACTGGTGTCCCGTTGATGTTGATGGGGGTGTGTTTTCTCTTCTCCCAGCTCCTTGGTTTTGCTGATGTTGAGTGAGGGGTGGTTTTCCTCACACCACTGCGTCAGAGTGTAAACCTCCTCTCTGTAGGCCATCTCATCATTATCTGTGATTAGGCCCACCACTGTCATCAGCAAATTTAACGATGACGTTGGAGCTGTGTTTGGCTGTACAGTCGCGTGTGTACAGGGAGTACAGGAGTTGACTGAGAACACAGCTCTGTGGATCATCAGTGTGGATCAGGTCATGTTGTTCATTCTGACCACCTGGCGTCTTCTTGACAGGAAGTCCAGGATCTAGATGCACATAGAGCTGTGTAGACCCAGAGCTTGGAGCTTCACCACTAGTTTGGCAGGCACTATAGTGTTGAATACTGAGCTGTAGTCCACAAACAGCATTCTCACATATGTGTTTTTGTTTTCCAGGTGAGACAGAGCAGTGTGCAAGGTGAAAGCAATTGCAACATCAGTGGAGCGATTATTCCTGTAAGCAAATTGCAGAGGGTCAGTGTGAGCAGGCAGTACAGAGCAGATGTGCTTTTTAAACATCTTCTCAAAGCACTTGCTGAAGATGGGTGTCAGAGCAACTGGACGCCAGTCATTTAAGCATGTAATTTTAGATTATGTCGGTATGGGCACAATAGTAGCTGTCTTAAAGCATGTGGGAACCACAGACCGAGAGAGCGAGAGGTTAACGATGTCCGTGAAAACCCCCGCTAGCTGGTGTGCGCATGCTTTAAGTACACGTCCAAGGATGCCATCTGGGCCGTAGCTTTCCGGATGTTCCGGAAAGATTTCGTTACGTCTGCTACAGAAACAGAGTGTGCTGGCGGTTTTGGTATCGGCCGCGGGAGCGCACAGTGTGTAGGTGCTGTCCTGGGCTTTAAAGCAGGTGTAGAACAAGTTGAGCTCGTCCGGGAGAGATGCAGAAAAGTTTACAGTGGCGGGTTTGTTACTTTTAAAGTTTATTATGTAATTAAGTCCCTGCCACATACTCCTCCCCTCTACCTTGTACCTCTGTATTGATGTTTTGCTGCTTTGATAGTTTACCTGAGGTTGTAGTTTGCTTGTTTTTGTTCCTCAGCATTTCTGGATTTATAGGCGGAGGTTCACACTGATCGGGCTGTTCGAACTTTGCCATCAATCCATGGTTTTGGGTTGGGGTAGATACGAACAGTTTTTGTTGAGGCCATGTCTTCTATACACTTTCTGATGAAGCATGTAACGGTGTCTTGAGTAAACTTTAATGTCGTCATCAGAAGCTGCCCGGAACATCTCCCAGTCCACATGATCAAAACATTCTTGAAGTATGGAACTCGATTGGTCCGTCCAGCTTTGAAACGTCTTGAGGGTGGGTGGTTCCCGTTTCAGTTTCTGTCTGTAAGCAGGCAAGAGCAGAACAAAAGAGTCATCTGATTTGCTTAGCGGTGGGCGGGGGAGGGATTTGTTGGCTTCCCGGAACGGAGAATAGCAGTGGTCCAAAATTCGGTCACCATGCATGTTTGTGGTGATATGGTGATAGTATTTTGGAGTGATTTTCCTGAGATTGGCATTGTTAAAGTCCCCTGTAACAATAAATGCTGCCTCTGGGTGTGTGGTTTCCTGCTCGCTTATGCTCCCATTCAGTTCCCTAAGCGCCTGCTCTGTGTTGGCTTGAGGGTGGATGCAAACATCTGTATTTATAACAGCTGTGACCTCTCTTGGTGGCCAGTGTGGTTGGCACCGAAGCATAAGGTATTCCAGATCAGGAGAACAAAATGATCTAACTGGATGTATCTAACTGGACCCCCTCATTCGAGTTGCAACATAAAAGAGCTTAGACAACAAAAAAAATATATATGCAACTTATTTAATATACACAACTAATAAAACAACAAATCAAGAAACAAACAAATGTCTAGGGGAAAATGAAGAAAATAACTAACTTTAACTACACATATAAATAATGCCAAACAAAACCATAAGGTTGCCAAAATAAAGAGATGGTCTTGATGCAAGGACGGCCAGTAGCCACACTATCCTACAGAAGCTAGCTCACTCTCGCATTTATATGCTTTGAACCAATTGGGGAGCTACCATGGCACCTTAACAGGATCTGCCACATCCAAACTGGAATACCAGGGTCGTCACACCATTTACACCTTTCAAATCTGTGTCTTATCAATGTGACCAAAATTACTTTTATGATCAATTATGTAAGAAACTCTGAAAACTAGACTGACAGCGTTTCAATTTACAATGACTTCTATGTTAGGCGACTATGACACAATTTACATTGTAAAAGCAGTAGATAAATAAAGATGAATTTAATCTGCTTAAATGTGTACATGTTAATGACTGAACAAAATATGATCTGATTTTATTTTACATTTAACATGCATCAAAATAAGTGTGTGTAGCCAATGTTTCCAGTGTCTTTTTACTTTTTAGCTTTTGATGAGAGATTTTTAGACTTAATGAAAACTAATCTTTTATTTATTTATTTCAGACCTAATTGAAGAGAATGAGAGGAAAGAGGAGGAACATCATGTCAAAATTGAGGAAAAAACTCATTTACAGACTGATGGTATTTTGAAAAGGAGAGACAAGAATTGTTTCACCTGCACTCAGTGTGGAAAGATTTTGGCAAGCAAAAGCAAACTTAAGATTCACATGATGATACACACTGGAGAGAAACCATTCACATGCACTCAATGTGGGAAGAGTTTCAACCAATCATCACAACTTAATGACCACATGATGATCCACACTGGAGAGAAACCATTTACTTGCACTCAGTGTGGGAAGAGTTTCAACCGCTCAGCACACCTTGATCAACACATGAGGATCCACACTGGAGAGAAACCATTTACTTGCACTCAGTGTGGGAAGAGTTTCAACCGCTCATCAAACCTTGATCAACACATAAGGATCCACACTGGAGAGAAACCAATAACGTGCACTCAGTGTGGGAAGAGTTTTCGCCAATCCTCATCCATTTATAAACACATGAGGATCCACACTGGAGAGAAACCATTCACATGCACTCAGTGTGGGAAGAGTTTCATCCAATCATCAAACTTTAATCTACACATGAGGATCCACACTGGAGAGAAACCATTTACGTGCACTCAGTGTGGGAAGAGTTTCCGCCAAGCATCATCACTTAATAAACACATGAGGACCCACACTGGAGAGAAACCATTTACTTGCACTCAGTGTGGGAAGAGTTTCCGCCAAGCATCATCACTTAATAAACACATGAGGACCCACACTGGAGAGAAACCATTTACTTGCACTCAGTGTGGGAAGAGTTTCAACAGCTCATCACACCTTAATCAACACATGAGGATCCACACTGGAGAGAAACCAATAACGTGCACTCAGTGTGGGAAGAGTTTTCGCCAATCATCATCCCTTTATAAACACATGAGGATCCACACTGGAGAGAAACCATTCACATGCACTCAGTGTGGGAAGAGTTTCCGCCAAGCATCATCACTTAATAAACACATGAGGATCCACACTGGAGAGAAACCATTCACATGCACTCAGTGTGGAAAAAGTTTTAACTGCTCATCATACCTTAAACAACACATGACGATCCACACTGGAGAGAAACCATTTACGTGCACTCAGTGTGGGAAGAGTTTCCGCCAAGCGTCATCACTTAATATACACATGAGGACCCACACTGGAGAGAAACCATTTACTTGCACTCAGTGTGGGAAGAGTTTCAACCGCTCATCACACCTTGATCAACACATGAGGATCCACACTGGAGAGAAACCATTCACATGCACTCAGTGTGGGAAGAGTTTCAGCCAATCATCAAACTTAAATCTACACATGAGGATCCACACTGGAGAGAAACCATTCACTTGCTCTTAATTAAATTCAATTCAGCTTTATTTGTATAGCGCTTTTACAATGTAGATTGTGTCAAAGCAGCTTCACATAAATGGTCATAATAAATTGGATCAGGGTAGTTCAGTTTTTAGTGTTTCAGTTCAGCTCAGTTCAGTGTGGTTTAAATCATTACTGAGAGTTCAAACACTGAAGAGCAAATCCATTGATGCATAGCTCTTCCGATCCTGAACCATGCAAGCCAGTGGCGACAGCGGAGAGGGAAAAAAAAACTTTACTGATAGGAGTGAAGAAAAAAAACCTTGAGAGAAACCAGACTCAGTTGGGCACGACCATTTTCATTTCTCCGCTGGCCAAAAGTCTTGTGCAGAGCTGCAGTCTCAGCAGTGGAGGCTGGAAGCTGGCCAAAGGGAAGACTCGTCTGTCCCTGGAGCATCACTGGAATCAGTCTCATGCTCTCCACACCCCATGACCACCAGCGCAGCAGCTCAGGAAACGGCCTGGTCCAGGGTATGGAAACCTTGGGATCATCTAGTTTTGAACTGAGAGAGTGTGTCTGAGCCTCGGATGTTATCAGGAAGGCTATTCCAGAGTTTAGGAGCCATAAATGAGAAGGCTCGACCTCCTTTACTCGACTTTGCTATTCTAGGTACTACCAGATGCCCGGAGTTTTGAGATCTTAAAGAGCGAGTTGGATTGTAGCGAGACAGAAGATAAACAGGAGCTAGATTATTTAGAGCTTTAAAGGTGAGAATTAATATTTTAAATTTAATACAAAACTTAACAGGCAGCCAGTGTAATGAGGGTACAATTGGGGTCTGTGTTCACACCGGACTTTTCTCTCCATAGACTTCCATTCATACGCACGCAAATGTGTCAGACTGGAAACGTAAGTTTGTGCGTCAAGTTTCGCAATTCACTGCCTTGCAAGGTTCAAGCTTGGTGAACTTTGACCTTGGAAATTGCATCACTTGACTATGTAAGACCCACACTGGAGAGAAACCATTCACATGCACTCAGTGTGGGAAGAGATTCAACCGATCAGCAAACCTTAATGAACACATGAAAATCCACACTGATGTGAAAGAGTATATGCGCTTTGAGTGTAAGAAGACTTATTACAGCTCCAAAATTGAAACTGCACCAGACAATTTACACTGGAGAGACTGTACAAGTGTTTTTACAAGAGGTTTAATCAGTTAACACATCTGAAAACAACAGGATTCACACTGGAGAGAAACCGTACAGATCTGATCAGTGTCTACAGAGTTTTAATCATTCGGCGCAGCTTAAGAAACACATAGACAAAAAAGTTGCACACATGACATGAATGCAGCAAAACATTTTCTCTGTGCACTGGATGTTTCATGTCTGAATAATGTTTGAAAAGGCTGAGTGACAGTATACTGTTTTCCAACACTCCTACACTGCAGTAGGTCGGGTTGTAAATGTGTTGCGCTTCTCGCGTTTACCGTAAACACCGTGGTGGTGGCTGAAAGAAGAACTGTCATAAACATCTGGCCAACAGCTCCTCTGCAGCTTAAAATCTCTTTGCAAGTGATTGTACCAGTGCAGATAAATTTGTACTCTCTCCAGTGTATTCATGTAGCTAGTGTTGTTTTAGATGATGTTCACTGTCTGACTCCCTGAATGAGAGACATCACTGGGAAGACACCGCACATCAAACAAGGTGGAGCTCTAGGACGCTTAGTCTGCAGTATACCAGGCCCTCAAGTTTTAAAAGCCCATTCAATTGTCCTGTGTTGCAGCTTTTATTAGTGAAGTTCTTTACTTTTAGATTCTAGATTTTTTCTAGTTTACTGCATTTACTTTGAGTAGAATACAAACTTGATGATTATTTTATGATTTAGGCAGAGCGACAGGTATTAAGTTTTACAATATTTATACACTGTGATGACTCCAGATTGGAGTATGTGGTAAATCCTGATTGGATGCCTGCAATACTCATCAATGGGTATATAAAAGTTGTTGTGCTAGCTACCGCATGACGCTGTGGCTACACGGGAGTCCACATGTCAAGACCTGCCATCTCATTGGCTCTTCAACCTTATGGTTTTGTTTTGCATTAATTTTGTCATGTAGTTAAAGTGTTGTTGTGATTATATCCTAAGTTCTTTATCGTCATTATTATCCCTAAACATTTGTTGGTTGCTTTGATTGTTTGTTCTATGAGTTACTTTTATAATAAATAATTTGCATTCAGGCTATTTTGTTGGCACTCTTATGGTGTGACTCTAACAAGCGGGTCATAACACTTCGCAAAATGTGGCCGGTTGTATCCAAGATCTTGTTCTTTTCAGTCATGACCATAGGTGAGAGTAGGAACCTAGAATGAGCAGTAAATTACGAACATTGCCTTTCGTCTCAGATCCTTCACAACAGACAACCACATCAACTGCATTACTGCTGCCGCTGCACTGATCCATCTTTAAATCTCACATTCCATTCCTAATGGAAAACACTGATACTTGAACTCCATTTGGGGTAAAGACTCTCCTCCAAACTGGAGATGGCCACCTTTTTCCAGTCAAGCACAATGGTTTCTTAGAGGTGCTGTTTCTTTCCCTGCCATGTCACACTCAGCAGCAAACCGTCCCACTTACTCCATGTCCTATGAAGCCAAAAAGACAACGTTATCTGCAAATGGCAGAGACAGTCCTAGCCTGCACCTAAAATTCTGTCAGTAAAAATTACTGTATTTTTGAGATCAGCCTGAAAAATAGCACATTTACAAAATAAAATGAATAAATAGATGGATGGATAGACATTGTAGTGGTGGAAGGGGAAGTTGGATGGCTTGTGTAGATGTTAGATGATCACACACACACACACACACACACACACACACACACACACACACACACACACACACACACACTCAAGTAATAGCTTCTAGCTTATTTTTATTACGTTCTTCAGCAGTAACAAGCTTTTCTGTTCTGTCGCTCCTTCCACCGACGTTCCCCTCTAGCTCCACCCACTTCCGTTACGTCACTTGACACACAATAAGCTACATCCCCCGCTTTTTTAGCAGGTGACAAGGCAACAAAAAGTAAAAAAATAAAATCAGGTAAATGTATATACAGATCTGGCATGAACTAACATGCGCATGAAACAAAGTGATCTCGCATGGCCACGACATATGGCGCGTTAGCACGGAAAGATGGTCAAGCAAATAAAGACATGAACAGTAGGGGGCAGTCGTGTACTGTAACGCACTGTATTGAAGCCGGAGCATTCTTTACGCATCATTATAACCTAGAAAACTACTTCATACAGGGGCGTAGATGTAGGGTGGACGGTGGTGATGCTTAATATTAATAGTTAAGTTTTCTAATTCACCACTGAACAACAGCTGATTAAACATCTGTGTCCTTTGAAGAAAAGCAAGATGGAGCAAACTAAAAAAAAAAACGCAAAAAAATGCATTTAGAAACAGCTGAGGGCAAGTTATAACTAATAATAATATTTCTGACTTATTTAATCTGAGCAGAGGTACAAGACAAGGATGCCCACTATCACCTCTGTTGTTTTTATTTGCAATTGAACCCCTGGCTATGACTATTAGGAAAAATCCAGATATAAAGGGTATGAAGATAGGAAAGAGGGATCATCGTATATCTTTGTTTGCAGATGACATTATTTTGTTTTTAACCAATTTGAAAAAATCCATCCCAGTGCTTACCAATATTATTGAAAAATTTGGAAAATTCTCGGGCTATAAAATAAATAATAGTAAAAGTACTCTGTTATTATTAAATGAGCAAGAGAGGAAAGGCCCCTTAAGTCATAAACAATTTGCCAACGAAATTAATGGTTTCTCTTATTTAGGGATTAAAATTACGCCCAATATAGACAACATAGTCCCCTCTAATTATGATCCTCTAATAAAGGGAGTCTTGGAATCTTTGGACAAATGGAGTGCAATGGAGTGCAATGCCCATTTAGCAGGACGTATAAGTATAATTAAGTATAATTAAAATGTCAATCTTACCGAAATTTTTATACCTTTTTCAATCTATTCCCCTTCCATTACCTGATGCTTTCTTTTCTACTCTTAAAAAAGCCTTTACCAGATTCATATGGAATAATAAACGACCCCGTTTGCGTTTATCTCTTCTCTACCTGCCATAAGACAGAGGAGGGCTTCAAGTGCCAAATATAAAACTATACTATTGGGCGACACAGCTTCGAACTGCTATGTATTATTTTTCCACAGACCAACCATCCTGGGTTGATATTGAAAAAGGAGAATTGTTACTTCCTATACAGTTATATCTACACTGACGATGTGAAAAAACTTAAAAAGTCCACTCCCAATCCCTTTCTTAGAAACACTCTGTATGGCACAAGGCACATTTTTACTTAGATGAGGAAATATGCATCTCTCCATTTACACCAATATGGGGAAATAACTGTTTTATCCCTAGAAGAAATGACATGGGGTTTAAAAATTGGCAGATGAAAGGATTAAGTATGGTAAAAGACCTATACGAAGAAGGTACACTAATGACCTTTCAACAGTTCATTTCAAAATACAATCTTCCCCAGAAGCACTTCTTAAAATACCTTCAAATTAGAAGTTTTATATATTCAAAAATTAAAACCTACCTGGAGCCCCAATATTCTACATTAGTACAACTTATTTTAAATCACATAAATAATAGAGGAATGATATCCTTGCTTTATAAAACATTACTAGATAGATTTAAAGAAAACTCCCTATCATACCTTTCAGCATGGAAAAGAGACCTTCAAGTGGATATTACTGTTGAGGAATGGGAATATGCATGTCTTTCAGCTCAAACTCAAACCATTAATACCAGATGTAGAATACTACAATACAAATGGATGATGGGGACTTACATTACACCTGTAAAATTACACCGGATTAACCCTAATAACCCAGACTATTGCACAAAATGTAAAGATGAAATTGGTACTCTGCTTCACTGTATGTGGGATTGTGGAGAGCTGCAGTTGTTTTGGAAGGAGGTG